TCCAAATAAAAGATAGACAGCAATATGTTAGCTATGGAGATTCTTTAAAGTCCAAAATATGTAAAAATTGTCCAAACCAAAACATTCACAACCGAAACAATTGAAACCATAGAGATATATTGAGGTCTCATCTTTGTATCTGTGCCATTATGGAGTCTGTCACAGCACAGGCAGCACCATTGAGGATATCTCCAATTTAAAGTTGCATGCGCCATGCTCCACCAAATGAGCCACAGAGGACCACCATGTGGGTGGTGGACAAGTGCACACGTCAGGAGAAGTGTAGAGTATTGAGATGCATAGCCAGCAGGGGGGCTCCAACCCTCCAAGAGCCCAAACATTGAGATCTATTTGGGCAAATCATAGACGTGCAATCCCATCACCTGGTGATATTTGTAGGGTTGTGGCTTAAGGCACATTCATTCTACATTCTTTTAAAGTGTGTTTCAGTAGTGACATCAAAAGTGGGGACGGGATTTTTCAGAGAAAGATATTTAAAAATAAACAAAACGAATAATTCGATCAGTATCTTTCAATGTAATAATTGAACAGCTTTGTACTACACTGAACAAAAATATAAACACAACATGTAAAGTGTTGGTCCCATGTTTCATGAGCTGAAATAAAATATCCCAGAAATGTTCCATAGGCACAAAAAGCGTATTTCTCTCAACATTTGTGCACAAATTTGTTTACATCCCTGTTAGTGAGCATTTCTTTTTTGCCAAGATTATCCATCCACGTGACCTGGGGCATATCAAGAAGCTGATTAAACAGCATGATCATTACACAGGTGCACCTTCTGCTGGGGACAATAAAAGGCCACTCCAAAATGTTCAATTATATTATCAAAAATATTGTGACGAGTTCCTGAGGCCCATTGTGAGGCCCAATTTATTTAAGGTATCTGTGACCAACAGATGCATATCTGTATTCCCAGTCATGTGAACTGTAACTGTAACTAAAATCAATTAAATTGTTGCATGTTGCGATTATATTTTTTTGTATATATTAATTTAACAGTATGTTTGTTATTGCATTGGATTGAATTAGAACATATCATGATGTAAATAAATGTCCTAAGTTTGGAGACTTAACAGTTTTTTTTAATCGTTTTTTTTGGGGGGGGACAGCAATTTACACAATTTCTGTAGAATCACCCAGGTAACATAAATCTAAACTTTTTTCACAAGTATTAACATATCACAGATGCGTACGTGAATCAAACACGGAAGTAGAAAGGTTGAAAGGAGTCCTGCACACTGTGCATCTCTCTCTTTAGCCAGACAGACTAGTCAATGTTAGCCATGACTTTATCAGTTTTATATTGATGACCTCAACCTCTGTGCCAAGAATAGATGTTTTCCAAATTTCTAATATCTTGATTGTTAAGTTTTTATAATATACAGTGAGGGAAAAAAGTATTTGATCCCCTGCTGATTTTGTACGTTTGCCCACTGACAAAGAAATGATCAGTCTATAATTTTAATGGTAGGTTTATTTGAACAGTGAGAGACAGAATAACAACAGAAAAATCCAGAAAAACGCATGTCAAAAATGTTATAAAATTATTTGCATTTTAATGAGGGAAATAAGTATTTGACCCCTCTGCAAAACATGACATCCCTTGTTGGCAATCACAGAGGTCAGACGTTTCTTGTAGTTGGAGGGATTTTGTCCCACTCCTCTTTGCAGATCTTCTCCAAGTCATTAAGGTTTCGAGGCTGACGTTTGGCAACTCGAACCTTCAGCTCCCTCCACAGATTTTCTATGGGATTAAGGTCTGGAGACTGGCTAGGCCACTCCAAGACCTTAATGTGCTTCTTCTTGAGCCACTCCTTTGTTGCCTTGGCCGTGTGTTTTGGGTCATTGTCATGCTGAAATACCCATCCACTACCCATTTTCAATGCCCTGGCTGAGGGAAGGAGGTTCTCACCCAATATTTGACGGTACATGGCCCCGTCCATCGTCCCTTTGATGCGGTGAAGTTGTCCTGTCCCCTTAGCAGAAAAACACCTCCAAAGCATAATGTTCCCACCTCCATGTTTGACGGTGTGGATGGTGTTCTTGGGGTCATAGGCAGCATTCCTCCTCCTCCAAACACGGCGAGTTGAGTTGATGCCAAAGAGCACCATTTTGGTCTCATCTGACCACAACACTTTCACCCAGTTCTCCTCTGAATCATTCAGATGTTCATTGGCAAACTTCAGACGGGCATGTATATGTGCTTTCTTGAGCAGGGGGACCTTGCAGGCGCTGCAGGATTTCAGTGATTCACGGCGTAGTGTGTTACCAATTGTTTTCTTGGTGATAATGGTCCCAGCTGCCTTGAGATCATTGACAAGATCCTCCTGTGTAGTTCTGGGCTGATTCCTCACCGTTCTCATGATCATTGCAACTCCACGAGGTGAGAACTTGCATGGTGCCCCAGGCCGAGGGAGATTGACAGTTCTTTTGTGTTTCTTCCATTTGCGAATAATCGCACCAACTGTTGTCACCTTCTCACTAAGCTGCTTGGCGATGGTCTTGTAGCCCATTCCAGCCTTGTGTAGGTCTACAATCTTGTCCCTGACATCCTTGGAGAGCTCTTTGGTCTTGGCCATGGTGGAGAGCTTGGAATCTCATTGATTGATTACTTCTGTGGACAGGTGTCTTTTATACAGGTAACAAGCTGAGATTAGGAGCACTCCCTTTAAGAGTGTGCTCCTAATCTCAGCTTGTTACCTGTATAAAAGACACCTGGGAGCCAGAAATCTTTCTGATTGAGAGGGGGTCAAATACTTATTTCCCTCATTAAAATGCAAATCAATTTATAACATTTTTGACATGCGTTTTTCTGGATTTTTTTGTTGTTATTCTGTCTCTCACTGTTCAAATAAACCTACCATTAAAATTATAGACTGATCATTTCTTTGTCAGTGGGCAAACTTACAAAATCAGCAGGGGATCAAATACTTTTTTCCCTCACTGTATTTAAAAAAGATTGAGCATCAGTTGGCAGCTAATGGATATTGAGTCCTCCTCTTAGCACCATTCTGTCCTGTCATGCTTTCACCTGAACTCACTATATTGAGATGATACTTGCGTACTGTGAATGGAGAAATGATCCCATATAGACATCTAAATCTATCATCAACTTGACCATATTAGTAGTGATGTCATAAAGGAGGGTTGACCATAGAATTATAAATAATTATATTCTATTGATTCTATGGGGCAGGACTTGTTGGCATCCTTCTGTGACATCATAATCCACTGTATGGCACTACCATGACAACATACTGTAATTCCAACAGTCCAATCAAACATTCTGAACCTCATAACTCATCTTTCTTTCTAGAGAGTGGTTGATTTTGATATTTTCTCTGAGTTTACTCCTTGTACAGTATTTACAATGGCTTTGAAGTGTAGTACTGTTGTTTTGTTGGTGGCTCTTTACATGGCGGCGTTACACGCTGGACTCCCTGACTGGCTCCCAGATGGTGAGGTGCTTCGGGACACCCTGTTACCCCCCATGATCCCTAAGGAGTGGTCTGCCACCCCTCGACTCCAGACCGACACTTACACCGTTCTAAATATCCTGTACAAACGACACTTTACAACTGAAGAGAACATGACCCCCACCAAGACCGGACAGACTTTGACCCAGACAACCCAAGATGATGCTACACCTAGCTTTGAATTCCTGCGGACCCGTGTGGCTGACCTCGAGACTTTGGAGAATGCTGGAGTGAGTGATATTGTATGGAGGAGGCTGGTTCGATTGATTAATGAGACTGAAGACCAAAAGCTGGAGACAGCAGGTTCTGTGATGTTGGGTCTCTCCTGTGTCTTGGGAGGACTGGGCCTGCTACTGAAGATCAGTTTGAAAGGCTTCCTACAGGTACAGTGATGTGAAGGGACAATGGGGCTAGGAGGGGGTCTGAGAAAGGCTTTGGGAAAACAACACAATGTTATATTTGCATTTGACCTGAATGAAAATATGATTCTGTTTTCCTACTGAGACTAACGGCCTAAACTCATCAAAGGCGAGTGTGCGAGGCGTGTGTGATTTATTTTAGAATGCATTGTTTTGAATTATAATGACCCAACCGAAGCCGGGCGGGTGGGTTGTCCGCTTTGATGCCTCGCTTAATTAGAACTCTATTTTTGCCTTTTATTGCTGCCGCTGTAGTCACACAAAACAAGAATTAACTTTTTTTCAAACTCATTTGAATTGGAAGAGGTAGCTAAGGGTTGAGGCTTTACCATCCACTTATGGAAACACAACATCACTATCAACAAAGATGATTGGAGATATGGACTATCCTGCTAGCATACAGTCACTGCTCTGCCTGTCTTATCCACCCGCCTTGCTCTGCTTGCTCCGCCCGCCTGCTTCTGGTGAGTTTTTCACTTTAGAGCCATGTTTATTTTTTTCCTCAGGCCATGGTTGCTTTGGAGCTTGATGTTGACCAGGACAAGATGAAGGGAGCTGGTCAGACAGACTCCTGTACTGATGCTGCAACTACTCAAGTGTTGACCTCTAAGAACAGTGGCTCTAGCAAGAAGACAGGTCGACTCTCCAAGAGGGGACACCACTGAATACCCTGCTGCAAATATGGGCCATTATTATTTTTGCACTTGAAAGGTTTTGATAAAGATTTTGCTTATTACTATACTTGCTGTTTCCATTTCATTATTTCGCTCAATGGGTATTTTTTGTAGAAGTTTCAATCGTTTTCAATCAACTGGGCACAAAAACAAGACAGGAGGTTGCTTTACCTGGAGCGTTAAGGAGAGTGGACCCACATATTATAAACAGTTGGTAGGTAACAAAAACTGACACTGTGTATCCACCCAAAAGGACATTTACTTTTAAAGTGCAACGTTTCAGTCACATAGACCTTGGTCAGGCATCATTTTAAGTGATATTGAAAATGACGATGCAGCAGCCTGGCGTTGTGGTTATCTGTCATCATGCCCTGAGTTCCTAGTGAAGCACTCGACTAGACCACAACTCAGTCTCTCTCTCCCTCTTCCTTTTCTCTCGCTCTCCTCCTTCTCTTTCGCTCCTTCTCTCTGAGGACAGAGCATGATGTATTGGTCCTGATGGAACAGAGGAGAGGACTGAACTGAACCAGAATTGACCTGGCGACAACCAAGACTAAACACTTTAGGAATGTGTCTGACGATGAGAATGCCAAAGATAATGTTTTAGCTACTCCCTGTGTGTGTGTTTTTGTGCGCGTGTGCATGTGTGTGCGTGTGCATGCGGGCTTGTGTGTTCTTTCATAAGTGCAAGTGAAGGTTATATAAGTCTACACATTTGGAGCTTGCGTGCATGTGGAGGCTGTGTGTTTGTGCAAGAGAGTGTGAGTTACGTGTATTTAGTGGCTTAGTAATTGTGACAGGGTCAAGACCAAGCCACGTCATGTTGCCCCTGATTATATCGCAATTGTGTTCTTGATTCTGAAACAAAAGTGCCCAACAATGATTTGATAAGAATAATACCTTTTGTTTAATGAGACTTGCTGTAACTCCTGTGTTCATTCAATTAGTAAACAGGTCTTCTATTCAGCCCGGGGCACCCCATCCCTAATTTTCCCAAATCAGACACACCCCCGCCCCTCACTGCCCCCCCACCCCACTCTGCAGCGTCCCACATCGGGGCCTCGGCAACATTCAGGACACAGAGGCTCCACCCCCCTCCCCCCGGACTGACCCCCCACCCATTTGATTGTGATTGACAGCGTCTTTGTTCCATTGTGCTGTCGCCTCTGATGAAGACACACACACACACACACACACACACACACACACAGGCCTATGTAGCTCCCCTCACTGCGCAGTGCACAGAAAGACATGGCTACTACCGCTGTTGCAATACGTAGTGTACTGCTGATTAGCTCTACACAGCCAGGACCCCCTGGGTATCACGTCTACAGACAGGGACTACAGGCAGACCAGCGCTCCCTCTCTGTAGGTCTCTCTGTCGCTCTCTCCCTTTCTCTCCCTTTTTCTCCCTCTCTTGGTTTCTGTGTCTCTCTCTCAGTCTCTCTCTCTCTCGCTCTCTCTCTCAGTGGATTGGGGGTCCAGGGCTGAGGGTCCGAGGCTGAGGGTGTGAGGGAGACAGCTGGTGAGGGAGGCTCTGGGGTGCAGTGGGGACGTTTCTGAGGAGGAGGCCGTCATTAACAGGGCTCACCCCTCCTCAGGGATGGGAACCAGGTCATATTCTCTCACACGGCACAAAGCAGGGTGTGTGTGTGAGGGGCGGGGGGTGAGGCGAGAGGGCTGGATGGGGAACAGGCCATGACCTCTTTATATCCATCAACAGATCACTGGCTTGGTCCGCACACACACACACTGCACACAAGCAGATGCACGTGCACACACACACAAGCAGATGCAAAAGCACGCAGGCACACACACACACTGGATACTTAACGGCATCCCTAGCCGCGTCCTCAGTGCATGCGCAGACCAGCTGGCTGGAGTGTTTACGGACATATTCAATCTCTCCCTATCCCAGTCTGCTGTCCCCACTTGCTTCAAGATGTCCACCATTGTTCCTGTACCCAAGAAAGCAAAGGTAACTGAACTAAATTACTATTGCCCCGTAGCACTCACTTCTGTCATCATGAAGTGCTTTGAGAGGCTAGTTAAGGATCACATCACCTCTACCTTACCTGACACCCTAGACCCACTTAAATTTGCTTACTGCCCCAATAGATCCACAGACGATGCAATCGCCATCGCACTGCACACTGCCCTATCCCATCTTGACAAGAGGAATACCTATGTAAGCATGCTGTTCATTGACTATAGCTCAGCCTTCAACACCATAATACCCTCCAAGCTCATCATTAAGCTTGGGGCCCTGGGTCTGAACCCCGCCCTGTGCAACTGGGTCCTGGAATTCCTGACGGGCTGTTTCCAGGTGGTGAAGGTAGGAAACAACACCTCCACTTCTCTGATCCTCAACACGGGGGCCCCACAAGGGTGCGTGCTCAGCCCCCTCCTGTACTCCCTGTTCACCCATGATTGCGTGGCCACGCACGCCTCCAACTCAATCAAGTTTGCAGACGACACAACAGTAGTAGGCCAACAATGACATTTGGTGTTTGCCAAAAGGCATGTGGGAGACTCCCCAAACATATGGAAGAAGGTACTCTGGTCAGATGAGACAAAAATTGAGCTTTTTGGCCATCAAGGAAAACGCTATGTCTGGCGCGAACCCAACACCTCTCATCACCCCGAGAACACCATCCCCACAGTGAAGCATGTTGGTGGCAGCATCATGCTGTGGGGATGTTTTTCATCGGCAGGGACTGGGAAACTGGTCAGAATTGAAGGAATGATGGATGGCGCTAAATACAGGGAAATTCTTGAGGGAAACCTGTTTCAGTCTTCCAGAGATTTGAGACTGGGAGGGAGGTACACCTTCCAGCAGGACAATGACCGTAAGCATACTGCTAAAGCAACACTCGAGTGGTTTAAGGTGAAACATTTAAATGTCTTGGAATGGCCTAGTCAAAACCCAGACCTCAATCCAATTGAGAATCTGTGGTATGACTTAAAGATTGCTGTACACCAGCGGAACCAATCCAACTTGAAGGAGCTGAAGCAGTTTTGCCTTGAAGAATGGGCAAAAATCCCAGTGGCTAGATGTGCCAAGCTTATAGAGACATACCCCAAGAGACCTGCAGCAGTAATTCCTGCAAAAGGTGGCTCAAGTTTTCTGTTTTCTTGTCTTATTTCTTGTTTGTTTCACAAAAAAAATTATTTTGCATCTTCAAAGTGGTAGGCATGTTGTGTAAATCAAATGTTACAAACTCCCAAAAAAATCTATTTTAATTCCAATTGTAAGGCAACAAAATAGGAAAAATGCCAAGGGGGTTGAATACTTTCGCAGGCCACTGTATGGAATCACTGGCCACTTTAATAATGTTTACATACTGGCTTTACTCATCTCATATGTATATACTGTATTCTATTCTACTGTATTTTAGATTTGTGTATATTGTTGTGAATTGTTAGATACTACTGCACTGTTGGAGCTAGGAACACAAGCATTTCGCTACACTCGCAATAACATCTGCTAAATACACTGCTCAAAAAAAACTAAGGGAACACTTAAACAACACAATGTAACTCCAAGTTAATCACACTTCTGTGAAATCAAACTGTCCACTTAGGAAGCAACACTGATTGACAATACATTTCACATGCTGTTGTGCAAATGGAATAGACAACAGGTGGAAATTATAGGCAATTAGCAAGACACCCCCAATAAAGGACTGGTTTTGCAGGTGGTGACCACAGACCACTTCTCAGTTCCTATGCTTCCTGGCTGATGTTTTGGTCACTTTTGAATGCTGGCAGTACTTTCACTCTAGTGGTAGCATGAGACAGAATCTACAACCCACACAAGTGGCTCAGGTAGTGCCGCTCATCCAGGATGGCACATCAATGCGAGCTGTGGCAAGAAGGTTTGCTGTGTCAGCGTAGTGTCCAGAGCATGGAGGCGCTACCAGGAGATAGGCCAGTACATCAGGAGACGTGGAGGAGGCCGTAGGAGGGCAACAACCCAGCAGCAGGACTGCTACCTCCGCCTTTGTGCAAGGAGGAGCAGGAGGAGCACTGCCAGAGCCCTGCAAAATGACCTCCAGCAGGCCACAAATGTGCATGTGTCTGCTCAAACGGTCAGAAACAGACTCCATGAGGGTGGTATGAGGCCCGACGTCCACAGGTGGGGGTTGTGCTTACAGCCCAACACCGTGCAGGACGTTTGGCATTTGCCAGAGAACACCAAGATTGGCAAATTCGCCACTGGCGCCCTGTGCTCTTCACAGATGAAAGCAGGTTCACACTGAGCACATGTGACAGACGTGACAGAGTCTGGAGACGCCGTGGAGAACGTTCTGCTGCCTGCAACATCCTCCAGCATGACCGGTTTGGCGGTGGGTCAGTCATGGTGTGGGGTGGCATTTCTTTGGGGGGCCGCACAGCCCTCCATGTGCTCGCCAGAGGTAGCCTGACTGCCATTAGGTACCGAGATGAGATCCTCAGACCCCTTGAGACCATATGCTGGTGCGGTTGGCCCTGGGTTCCTCCTAATGCAAGACAATGCTAGACCTCATGTGGCTGGAGTGTGTCAGCAGTTCCTGCAAGAGGAAGGCATTGATGCTATGGACTGGCCCGCCCGTTCCCCAGACCTGAATCCAATTGAGCACATCTGGGACATCATGTCTCGTTCCATCCACCAACGCCACGTTGCACCACAGACTGTCCAGGAGTTGGCGGATGCTTTAGTCCAGGTCTGGGAGGAGATCCCTCGGGAGACCATCCGCCACCTCATCAGGAGCATGCCCAGGCGTTGTAGGGAGGTCATACAGGCACGTGGAGGCCACACACACTACTGAGCCTCATTTTGACTTGTTTTAAGGACATTACATCAAAGTTGGATCAGCCTGTAGTGTGGTTTTCCACTTTAATTTTGAGGGTGACTCCAAATCCAGACCTCCATGGGTTGATACATTTGATTTCCATTGATAATTTTTGTGTGATTTTGTTGTCATCACATTCAACTATGTAAAGAAAAAAGTATTTAATAAGATTATTTCATTCATTCAGATCTAGGATGTGTTATTTTAGTGTTCCCTTTATTTTTTTGAGCAGTGTATGTTATTTTTTAATAGTAGGACTCATGCATCAATAGGCCTATTGGCTATGAGTGTAAGGAGACAGATCTCTGATTAGTTTACATTTCCATGGTCATTTGCAAACAAACATTCTCTCACACATTCACTGGTTCCCCAGCCAAACCAAACATAGAACAACTTTCAACACCAGTGATTGGAAACATTCCCTCAGACCCTAGAAAAACAATATCCAGTCCCAACCCACAGAGATCAGTAACTTAAAAGAACAATAACCTTAATCAAGACTTACAACCCCACCAAAAACTAGCCAATATCATATGGCTACAATGATCTCCATCCCTAGACACCAGTCAAGTTGTCTCTTTGTAATACTGACAACAGGTCTCCTGCTCACTGAACTGTGTGTGCTGTAGCGTCTGTAGTGGCACTTAACTTAGTGGTAAAGAGTGTTGTGCCAGTAACCGAAAGGTCGCTGGTTCTAATCCACGAGCTGACTAGGGGAAAAATCTGTCGATGTGCCCTTGAGCAAGGCACTTAACCCTAATTGCTCCTGTAAGTCGCTCTGGATAAGAGCGTCTGCTAAATGACTAAAATGTAATGTAAATGTAGTGGAATCCCACCCCAGCTGATGGTACAGCTAGAGAGAACACAGTGATCTACTGCCCCCCACTGGTTCACAAAGAGTCCTGCAGGCACAATGGAAACAATGCTCTTGTGAAACCCCACCAGACATTGGGCTAAATGCCTTATCATTACAATGCCATTATTTCAACACTTTCAGAGTGAATCAAGAAGTTTATTTCTAAATCAATTAATTACTTAAAAAATAAGATATCAACAATCTATCCATTCACAAACTTTTAAAAACCACACATTCAGCTTGGCCTGAGTCTTAAGTTCATTGGGTGCTATGTTACGCTTTCACTGTGATTGTAAAGCTGTTGTTTTTTGTTATTCTTTGTAACTGGTTAAGTTTTGTGTGCTTTGTTTTTCCGTCCACAGACAGACAGATAGACGGATGAACTGACAGAAAGATGGACGGATGGATGGACAGACAGTGTCATTGCCCCGCAGCATCTCAAAAGACCGGGACTGAGGAGATGCATGGCTGTGTTTGTGGGTAAGTTGTTTGTGTGTAACCATGTGTTTTTCCTGATCACATGATCTGACCAGAAAAAACTCCTAGCCCCATGTATGAGGTCACACTGTACTGTCTGTGTTTGTGCAATTGTGTGGGTTGCTTGGCCAAAGCTTATCCTGGTTCTCCCATGGCCTCTCTCTCTGAGAACTACCTGGCCCCTCCTTCCCCCAGGTGGTCCAGTCTAGTCTACCTGGTTAGCCATTACTCCTGGGAGATGGGAGGTTTGGGTGTCAGTAATGCAGCTACGCCACTGTATATTTCTCACAGGCTGCGTCCAAAATGGTACCCTATCCCTATATAATGCACTACTTCTCACCCTGGTAGTGCACAATATAGGGAATTGGGTGCCATTTCAGACCCAGACACAGTCTCTCCTCTCTCAGTTCGGTGAGATGGTGCGTCTGCGCAGGCAGCTGCAGGTCAGGCACTTAAGGATGCTCATGGTGATGTGCATGATGGGGCCAAAGTTGAACAGCAGGTTGTAGAAGGTGTTGACCGACAGGCCACCTGTCTCGTCGGCGTACTTCATGGCTATGATGGGCGTGTACAGGCTGTTGGTTAAGTTCCTGAAGCGAGGGTTACTTGACTCGATCACCTTCTTAGTGCACTACATGGGACAGAGAGAGAGGGAGATAGAGACAGGGAGGACATCATTGGGTGTTAATAGTACACCTGAGTTTCTTTCAAATGCTTTCAATGTTTGTTTGTCTGGAGTGCCAGATGGGATAGGATTTGCACTTTCGTGACTATTCCATTGGTTCCATTACACTAGGCAAGCTCAAATTCCCATGAACCAAAGGGTGACACAGGGAGGGGAGGGTGTTCACTAACCTTGGCGATGTCCTCTGGGGTCTGGCCCATGGCCTCAAAGATATCCTTGGAGGAGGGCAGGTAAACATCTTTAAAGTAGCGCACAGTGTCTGCATCAGCTCCTGGGTACTCCATCTTGGCCACGTCATCCATCATCTTAGTCTCAAACTCTGTGTGCACCGGCCCTGGTTCAATCATAGACAAACTGACCGGAGAGAATAGAATAGATCTTTATTCATCTATTACACAGTAACACCAATTCCTTATTTTTGCTGACACAGTAACCAGGTATTGAGTCACTGGATACCAGAAGTACAAGACAGACTGAGAGAAACTCACTGGATGTTGAACTTCAGCAGTTGGACTGCCATACTCTCACAGAAGCCCTCCATGGCGAACTTGGAGGCAGTGTAGACATCGTTGAACACTACACCTACAGGCAGAGCAGACTCAGGGTCAGGATAAATGGTAGTCAGAGAGCAGGACCAGAATCTACAGCTTTTACAGTTAGCCTGCTGGTCTAGATCTGTATGTGCGTTAGCCAACCCATCTATCATTGTCATGCCAGTCTTACCCTGTAGACCCATAACACTGCTCATGACCACGATGTGTCCCGCCCGCCTCTTCTTCATGTCAGGCATGACCTCTTTAATCATCCTCACCACGCCAAAGAAGTTGGTCTCAAACACCCTCTTCATCTCCTCCATACTGATGCTCTCCACTGGTCCCAACAAGCCCACACCTGCATTGTTGACTGAGGGGAGACACACATATAGAGGCAAGGGTTATAGACCTGTAGTTACTCTACCGATACTATACAGTTACTATACTGTAGCCTTCTATACAGACACCTATAGTTAAGGTTTAGAGCTGAGGCTCTAAAGCTTTAGTCACAACTGATGTTTTGTAGGCCGTCATTGTAAATAAGAATGTGTTCTTAATTGACTTGTCTAGCTATATAAAGGTTACATCAACTTTTAAAAATTGTATGAACACTAGTTTTGTGTCTTGATATACTTTAGGGAAGAATGCATGATTTTTTTCTGTGCGACATGAACTCCATTGGTCAGATAGTGATTGCACTATTCACTGTCACCACTAGGTGTCAGCACATGACTGAGATAAATAGAGAGGTGTGATGTTTTTTTTATTTTATTTTTATTTCACCTTTATTTAACCAGGTAAGCCAGTTGAGAACAGGTTCTCATTTACAACTGCGACCTGGCCAAGATAAAGCAAAGTAGTGCAATAAAAACAACACAGAGTTACATATGGGGTAAAAAAAAAACATAGTCAGAAATACAACAGAAAATATATATACAGTGTGTGCAAATGTAGCAAGTTATGGAGGTAAGGCAATACATAGGCTGTAACAGTCTGTAATAGGCTGTAATAGATGTAACAGTCTGCTGGGCTGTTTTTGTTGTATTAAGGGTAGAGGGGGTAGTGTCGGGGAGTGGAGGGTCAGGAGTGAACCTATGAATAGAAACATGATCCCGTTTTCCTGGAAGATCAGAGTCCACCAGTTTAAACAGATGTTAGAGTTATAAGGCGCACATATACACATAGGCCTAGACCCTTCAAACTTAACTCTGGACCTCAAAGCCAGTTCCACTGCATTTTTTCATTGTTCCTCTCTAATCAGGGACTGATTTAGACCTGGGACACCAGGTATGTGCAATTAATAATCAGGTAGAAAAGAAAACCAGCAGGCTTTGGACCTCGTAGGGTAAGAGTTGAATCCCCCTGGCCTAGATGAATGCAGGATGAACGCATGCCCTGCCACATTCAAACACACACAAAAAACGCAAGGCTATTTGTCCCAAGGCTAGAGATCAGGTCATTGCCACACAAAAGGCCAGGGCAGGAGGTTTAGCTCGTTAGTTCCAGCCCTGTTAACTCACTGAGGATATCAATATGGCGGTCCTTGACACTGTTGATGCAGTGCTTGACTGACTCATCACTGCACACGTCCAGAGGCAGCAGCATGAGGCTCTTCCCATACACATCACCTGCTGCCTCCACCAGTTTATCCTTCTTCTTCAGGTTACGCATGGTGGCAATGACTGGGAGAGAGACAAAGAGAGAGAGAGGGGAGAGGGGAGGGAGAGAGAGAGAGGCAGAGAGAGAGGATTGAGAGAGAGAGACACTGTTAATGCACTGCTTGACTGACTCATCGCTGCACACATCCAGAGGCAGCAGCATGAGGGTCTTCCAATACGCATCAACTGCTGTGACCTGTTGCCACAAGGGCAACCAGTGAAGAACAAACACCATTGTAAATACAACACATATTACTTTAACTATTTGCACATCCTTACAACACTGTACATAGCCATAATATGACATTTGAAATGTCTATAATCCTTTGAAACTTGTGAGTGTAATGTTTACTGTTCATTTTTGATATTTTATTTCACTTTTGTTTATTGTCTATTTCACTTGCTTTGGCAATGTAAACGTACACTACATGGACAAAAGTATGTGGACAATCCTTCAAATTAGTGGATTCGGCTATTTCAGCCACACCCGTTGCTGACAGGTGTATAAAATCGAGCACACCGCCATGCAATCTCCATAGACAAACATTGGCAGTAGAATGGCCCGTACTGAAGAGCTCAGTGAATTTCAAAGTGGCACCGTTATAGGATGATACCTTTCCAACAAGTCAGTTTGTCAAATTTCCGCCCTGCTAGACCTGCCCCGGTCAACTTTAAGTGCTATTATCGTGAAGTGGAAACGTCTAGGAGCAAAAGCAGCTCAGCCATGAAGTGGTAGGCCACACAAGCTCACAGAATGGGACCGCCGAGTGCTGAAGTGCATAGCGCGTAAAAATGTACTGTCCTCGGTTGCAGCACTCACTACCGAGTTCCAAACTGCCTCTGGAAGCAACGTCAGCACAAGAACTGTTCGTCAGGAGCTTCATGAAATGGGTTTCCAAGACCAAGCAGCCGCACACAAGCCTAAGATCACCATGCACAATGCCAAGCATCGGCTGGAGGGGTGTAAAGCTCGCCGCCATCGGACTCTGGAGCAGTGGAAATGCGTTCTCTGGAGTGATGAATCACGCTGCACCATCTGGTAGTCCGACGGACGAATCTGGGTTTGGCAGATGCCAAGAGAACGCTACCTGCCCGAATGCATAGTGCCAACTGGAAAGTTTGGTGGAGGAGGAATAATGGTCTGGGGTTGTTTTTCATGGTTCGGGCTAGGCCCCTTAGTTCCAGTGAAGGGAAATCTTAACGCTACAGCATACAATTACATTCTAGATGATGCTGTGCTTCCAACTTTGTGGCAACAGTTTGGGGAAGGTCCTGTTTCAGCAGGACAATGCCTCCGTGCACAAAGCAAGGTCCATACAAAAATAGTTTGTTGAGATCGGTGTGGAAGAACTTGACTGGCCTGCACAGAGCCTGACCTCAACCTCATCGAACACCTTTGGGATGAATTGGAACGCCGACTGCAAGCCAGGCCTAATCGCCCAACATCAGTGCCCGACCTCACTAATGCTCTTGTGGCTGAATGGAAGCAAGTCCCCGCAGCAATGTTCCAACATCTAGTGGAAAGCTTCCCAGAAGAGTGGCTGTTATAGAAGCAAAGGGGGGACCCATGATTTTGGAATGAGATGTTCGACAAGCAGGTGTCCACATACACTACACGGCTAAAAGTATGTTTCCCATGCCATATAAAGCCCTTTGAATTGAATTGAATTGAGAGACAGAGGCAGAGGGAGAGAGACAGAGGAAGAGAGACGCAGAGAGAGAGACAGAGCGAGAGATCGAGAGAGAGAGCAATATACAGTTGAAGTCGGAAGTTTACATACACCTAAGCGAAATACATTTCAACTCAGTTTTTCACAATTCCTGACATTTAATCCTAGTAAAAATTCCCTGTCTTTGGTCAGTTAGGATCACCACTTTATTTTAAGAATGTGAAATGTCAGAATAATAGTAGAGAGAATGATTTATTTCAGCTTTTATTTCTTTCATCACACTCCCAGTGGGTCAGAAGTTTACATACACTCAATTAGTATTTGGTAACATTGCCTTTAAATTGTTTAACTTGGGTCAAACATTTTGGGTAGCCTTCCACAAGCTTCCCACAATAAGTTGGGTGAATTTTGGCCCATTCCTCCTGACAGAGCTGGTGTAACTGAGTCAGGTTTGTAGGCCTCCTTGCTCGCACACGCTTTTTCAGTCTGCCCACAAATGTTCTATAGGATTGAGGTCAGGGCTTTGTGATGGCCACTCCAATACCTTGACTTTGTTGTCCTTAAGCCATTTTGCCACAACTTTGGAAGTGTGCTTGGGGTCATTGTCCATTTGGAAGACCCATTTGCAACCAATATTTAACTTCCTGACTGATGTCTTGAGATGTTGCTTCAATATATCCACATAATTTTCCTTCCTCATGATGCCATCTATTTTGTGAAGTGCACCAGTCCCTCCTGCAGCAAAGCACCACCACAGCATGATGCTGCCACCCCCGTGCTTCACAGTTGGGATGGTGTTCTTCGGCTTGCAAGCGACCCCCTTTTTCCTCCAAACATAACGATGGTCATTATGGCCAAGCAGTTCTATTTTTGTTTCATCAGACCAGAGGACATTTCTCCAAAAAGTACGATCTTTGTCCCCATGTGCAGTTGCAAACTGTAGTCTGCCTTTTTTATGGCGGTTTTAGAGCAGTGGCTTCTTCCTTGCTGAGTGGCCTTTCAGGTTATGTCGATATAGGACTAGTTTTACTGTGGATATAGATACTTTTGTACCTGTTTCCTCCAGCATCTTCACAAGGTCCTTTGCTGTTGTTCTGGGATTGATTTGCACTTTTCGCACCAAAGTACGTTCATCTCTAGGAGACAGAACGCGTCTCCTTCCTGAGTGGTATGACGGCTGCGTGGTCCCATGGTGTTTATACTTGTGTATTATTGTTTGTACAGATGAACGTGGTACCTTCAGGCGTTTGGAAATTGCTCCCAAGGATGAACCAGACTTGTGGAGGTCTACAATGTATTTTCTGAGATCTTGGTTGATTTCTTTTGATTTTCCCATGATGTCAAGCAAAGAGGCACTACTTTTGAAGGTAGGCCTTGAAATACATCCACAGGTCCACCTCCAATTGACTTAAATTATGTCAATTAGCCTATCAGAAGCTTCTAAAGCCATGACATAATTTTCTGTCATTTCCAAGCTGTTTAAAGGCACAGTCAACTTAGTGTATGTAAACTTCTGACCCACTGGAATTGTGATACAGTGAATTATAAGTGACATAATCTGTCTGTAAACAATTGTTGGAAAAATTACTTGTGTCATGCACAAAGTAGATGTCCTAACCGACTTGCCAAAACTATAGTTTGTTAACAAGAAATGTGTGTAGTGGTTAAAAAACAAGTTTTAATGACTCCAACCTAAGTGTATGTAAACTTCCGACTTCAACTGTATCTGAGATATATGAGACTACATGGAACAGACTGATGACTGACCCACTGACACATAGATAAGCAGTTATAGTAGACTTGCACACAGGTATATACGTACACAGACAGACAGACAGACAGACAGACAGACAGACACACACAGACAGACAGACAGACAGACAGACAGACAGACAGACAGACAGACAGACAGACAGACACACAGACACACAGACAGACAGACAGACAGACAGACACACAGACACACAGACACACAGACACACAGACAGACAGAGACACACAACAGCCATGCAGGTCAGTGGGTCTATTCCACATCCATCCGCTTGTGTAACGCACTATTGATTCCCTTTAAACTCTGGACCTGGGAGACATTAACCTACATAGAGTAACACATAGTATCTACCATCTACAGTATGTACAGAAAGGTTATCAACATGTTTGCATCTTGTGACTTGACATTCTCCATTCCAAGTTTACAGTGAGGTCAATAACCTCTGTGTTTATTGATGTGATCTAACAGAGAAATAGAGAGACAGCAGTATTACACAATGGAGATCAATGGTGAAAATCAACAGTTCTAATCAGGCACTGATCTGAAGACCTGCTGTCCTTGATGAATGAAGACATCCTCTTATCTCATCTGGTTCTGTAACCTCTGACCCAAACCCCCACTGACAATCCAGTATCTATGGAGTGAGTGGAAGAGCATGGAATAATGTGTGAATAGAATAAGCACTGCTCATATCCGCTTTACTAGTGAGGGTGTGGAATTGCTAGTAGAGAACTATGACAGATAGTGCCAGCTTCAACTGTATACTGTCTATAGAGGGTACGTGTTGTACACCTATGAGTGACATCTTCATGATGACAGAATTGGGTGTCTGTAAAGCAAAAGAGAGATTTATGAGTTTCAACAGAACAACAGTTGCATTGTTCTTTCAGTTGTTGTTGGAATTATTCTTGGGCAACAGCTGAGTAAACATTCTTGAATGGAACTACTGTCCTGAACTGGGATTGTTGAGGTTTCTCTGTAGTTGGCAAATGTCACTGCTACCAATTAATACTCAGAATAACAGCGCAATATTTAATCTGGATTTTCCTGATCCTCCAGAGAGAACAGATCAAGTTATTTTCTGCAATGTGGTCTCTCTCTTGGATGCAGGTCACAGTTCAACGAGAATGATTCAACCCTGAGTACTGTTGAGGGAGCTGTTAATCGCTTCTGTTGCGCTCCTCTACTTCACGGCAATAAATCCCAAGACCCCACTACCCTCAAAGAAATAACAATTCTACGTAACCCTAGACTGACATTAATGATGGGATGTCTGTACCTGGAAAGTGGAACAATGTCCGCGACGAGCCCCTAGCTCCGCTGAGCCCCGATGAAGACTTAAAACAAGCCTTGCTAGTGAACCCTCGCTTGTACAGGTCTCAAACTTTGTCCCTCTTTCAACACTCGCTCCAGAGAGGGGACTATAGGCGCATTCGACACGGCACTAAACCGGGCCAGCGGTCTACAATTCAGTGCGATAAAGGGGGCTTTGTACGAGAGAAGTCACTTGAAAGAGAACTGGCAGTCTCTTTTATGATCCCCGCCTGGCAAGCGGCATCCTCACAGAGCCATACCCTGGAAACTCTGCTTTCAGATGATTATAGGTGAATCAAGGGGGATAGAGAACCAGAGGGCTCACGATAGGATTTTTTTTTTTTAAACACTAGCAATATGAGATTTTGTCTAAAAGTAAAACGCGTAGGCTATAATTTTTTGGTGCAAATGTCAAACCTGCGCGTAAAAGTTGTTTTGGATAGATAGACTACTGATGACCCTATTTGTACACAAAACATATTCCATAAGGATTCAAAGAAAGATCAGAGGGATTTTAGCAGCATGTCGGATCAAGTTTTTGAAGTTAAAGGCAGATAAACAATGTAAAGAAAGCGCATTTACCATGGTAACGCTTCTTTTCATCTTTGGCTAGCAGGACGGCGATTCGTAACCCGATGCCGGAGGAGCAACCGGTGATCAGGACTACTTTTTGTCCACTGCTCGCCATGGCTTGTCCGGTTAGGTCGTGTGTTTTAGTGGTCTTCTGCTCCTGATGGTTGTTGCAGAGCGAACCCGAGCACCGGACTTTAAAAACTAAAGCGGATCATGCAAACACAGAGGCCATTTGAGCGGGTAATTTAGTCACATGTTCTATAAAATCGTTTACTAAAAAAGACGTGGCACCTCGCAAACTCTACTGCCAGCAGAATCTTAAATCTGATAAATGCTGCTTGCCCTGAATTGATTTTTAAAAAATTAGCCTAATTTAATCCCTGTTTTACAGTGTGTGGCAGCCTAACATATGGGTAGGGGTTAAATTGACAAGCATTTTTCATGCAATTTTGAACAACAGCCTCAATAAATATTTATTTCCCAGTAGGGCCTATGTTTAATGTTGCTGTGTTTAGCTGCTTTCACATCTGTCACACATAGGCCTACATATTGCTGCAACCTGGTCTCAGTGCATTTCGTATTATTCTGTAGGCTACGTAAATCTGAGATACCTTATTTAGTCCGATATTACGTTTTGTATGGTATTAATTTTTGGATGTCCATCATCTATTTCGTATGATAGGCTATGTTACGAATTACAATTCGTATGATATGTTACGAATTGCATTACGTACAATATGTTACGGATTTGAAAAAAGTATGTTATTCTACGCATTTTCTAAATGTATGATATGTTACAAATTCAAATTTGTTGTGGCTAACTTTAGCTAGGTGTCTAGCTGGCTAAAGCTAAAGTTATGTAACCATACCAAACTTCACATATCATACTAATTTGACCAAACCCGGATTTACATTTACTATGTTATGTCTAGTCTATGAGACCTGGCTGATTTTATATATAGGCCTTGTCATAAAACCCCGATTTATAGGCCTACTTTTGGCTTAAATAAACAAATATTTTATAGGGGATTATTCTTACTAAAAGAAATAAATATTAAGAAAAACAACTTTAGCTGAAACCAGGTGAATGTAGAAACCTATATCAGAATTGTGTGATGCTATTAGACTTTTTAATTTCAATTTGACCATACAATGTTAAAATAAAGAGTACCCTATAGATTAAAGTGTGAAAACAATTGAATGTCAAGCGCAAAGTTCAATATTATGGTGTCTATTTTCGTCGACCATTGAGTCCTACATCACGTCACCATATTCAAATTTCACACTTGTGTGGCTTCAGCTCTCCTTCAGTAATGTTGTATAATCTAGATACGGTACAGCGCTGGAGCTCTCCTGCCATCTGCTGGCGAAATGAACCATTACACACATACAGTATGAATGGGTTTGGAACAGACAAGGCTTCTCCAATGTAGTTATTATTCCTATGACTGTGTTGCATCCAATGCTGAATAAAAGTAATTGATGGTAATTCAGTCACGCTGTTTTAAGGGCAGTATTTTAAGTCTATATAGGTAGAAGAAGCAGCATGTGTTTGTAGTCAGTGCAGTGGTGGTCTGTCAGTTTTGAGTAATGGTTATGTGTTGCTTTGGCTTGGAGACAGAGAGACATTGCCTTGTTTGAACATGGGAATTCTGCTCAAGGTGTCAAGGTGCATATGATAAGATTGTAAAACCAGGCTGGTGATTGGGTCGGAGTACAAAGGTCACACCCTTGTTACGGCTTGTTGGACACTCAATATGTTATTGCCACAGCTGCATGGCCAGAGAGGTGAGCTGAAACCATCTCTCTTCCTGTCTCTTCCTGTCTCTCTCTCAGAATATCCATCCATCTCCTATGCTTTGTGCATTTAACCTCAAACAAACCTGTGATGTAGAGTATTCATGAACACCCCCCAGTCTTTACAGTCCACACATAGGAATTACGTAACATAGGCTACAGAGATCACAGGATAGGTATAGAGGACACGCACACATGGACACACACACACACACACAATCACACACACACCTGTTGAGACAGTGTATGAGTACAGGACGATCCAGTCAAACATAGAATAAGTTAGATAGGTTAGCTAGACTGTTTGTCTCTTCTTTCAAGTTATTTATGGACAGGCCTCTATGGCCAAGAGCCTCCCTCTCCTCCTTCTCAGGCGGTTATTAATTTCCGTCATAACTTCGAAAGGAGGTATTCTTCCTGAGGGGAGGCATATGTCAACTATGACTGTAATCCTGGATGGATGCACAAACGGTCAGTCTTCAGCCAACATCCTGTTAGAGTGGACACCAGTTTAGCCTTGCTGTGAAAAATGTTACCGCAAGCACATGACACATACAAGACACATGGGAGAAAATAGACAGCAGTAGACCAGTACAGAGAAGCACTTTTCTACTACCATCGACACAGAGCATTACGTAATGTAATCCCTACCCCCTAAAAAGCGAATTTCCCAACTTTTACTCTCTGAAAAACCGGGAGCAAACCAGAGAACAACTTTTATTAGATGTTGACTGATAATGGTTAGGGTAACAATTGTTTTAAAGGGTTTATATGATAATAATGAACCGTTTACAAACTATTGATAGACTCTTTATAATATCCCCATGTGCTCCCCATCTTCTCAATGGATAAAAAATACATACATTTCTAAGAATTGTTCCAGTACTGTAGATCTACTATAGATCTACTGTTGAAGTCGGAAATGTACATACACTTAGGTTGGAGTCATTAAAACTAGTTTTTCAACCACTCCACAAATTTCTTGTTAACAAACTATAGTTTTGGCAAGTCGGTTAGGACATCTACTTTGTGCATGACACAAGTAATTTTTTCCAACAATTGTTTACAGACAGATTATTTCACTTATAATTCACTGTATCCCAATTCCAGTGGGTCAGAAGTTTACATACACTAAGTTGACTGTGCCTTTAAACAGCTTAGAAAATTCCAGAAAATTATGTCATGGCTTTAGAAGCTTCTGATAGGCTAATTGACATCATTTAAGTCAATTGGAGGTGGACCTGTGGATGTATTTCAAGGCCTACCTTCAAACTCAGTGCCTCTTTGCTTGACATCATGGGAAAATCAAAAGAAATCAGCCAAGACCTCAGAAAAGAAATTGTAGACCACCACAAGTCTGGTTCATCCTTGGGAGCAATTTCCAAATGCCTGAAGGTACCACGTTCATCAGTACAAACAATAGTATGCAAGTATAAACACCATGGGACCACGCAGCCGTCATACCGCTCAGGAAGGAGACGCGTTCTGTCTCCTAGAGATGAACGTACTTTGGTGCGAAAAGTGCAAATCAATCCCAGAACAACAGTAAAGGACCTTGTGAAGATGCTGGAGGAAACAAGTACAAAAGTATCTATATCCACTTTAAAACGAGTCCTATATCGACATAACCTGAAAGGCCGCTCAGCAAGGAAGAAGCCACTGCTCCAAAACCGCCATAAAAAAGCCAGACTACGGTTTGCAACTGCACATGGGGACAAAGATTGTACTTTTTGGAGAAATGTCCTCTGGTCTGATGAACCAAAAATATAACTGTTTGGCCATAATGACCATCGTTATGTTTGGAGGAAAAAGGGGGTCGCTTGCAAGCCGAAGAACACCATCCCAAACATGAAGCATGGGGGTGGAAGCATCATGCTGTGGGGGTGCTTTGCTGCAGGAGGGACTGGTGCACTTCACAAAATAGATGGCATCATGAGGAAGGAAAATTATGTGGATATATTGAAGCAACATCTCAAGACATCAGTCAGGAAGTTAAAGCTTGGTCGCAAATGGGTCTTCCAAATGGACAATGACCCCAAGCATACTTCCAAAGTTGTGGCAAAATGGCTTAAGGACAACAAAGTCAAGGTATTGGAGTGGCCATCACAAAGCCCTGACCTCATTCCTATAGAAAATTTGTGGGCAGACTGAAAAAGTGTGTGCGAGCAAGGAGGCCTACAAACCTGACTCAGTTACACCAGCTTAGTCAGGAGGAATGGGCCAAAATTCACCCAACTTATTGTGGGAAGCTTGTGGAAGGCTACCCGAAACGTTTGACCCTGTGATGCGTGATTTGAAGGAGTCATGCGCAGGAGGGTAAATCACAGTATACAGAGTTTATTCCGTAATCCAACGTAAGCAGTTCAGTGCGCAAAACAGGTGCACTGGAACTAACATGCACACAGGGAAAATACCCCGGCAATACAAAATACTGAGCTCAACCGAGCTACTAATCCTCACAATGAACAATCACCTACAAGGACAAGGGGGCAGAGGGAACACTTATACAGGTACTGATGAGGGGATATGAACCAGGTGGGTGTAATTGACAAGACAAAACAAATGGAATGATTATTAATTGATGAGATGAGGAGCGGCAGTGGCTAGAAGGCCGGTGACGACGAATGCCGAAGCCTGCCCAAATAAGGAGAGGAGGCAGCCTCGGAGGAAGTCGTGACAGACCCAAGTTAAACAATTTAAAGGCAATGCTATCAAATACTAATTGAGTGTATGTAAACTTCTGACCCACTGGAAATGTGATGAAAGAAATAAAAGCTTAAATAAATCATTCTCTCTACTATTATTCTGACATTTCACATTCTTAAAATAAAGTGGTGATCCTAACTGACCTAAAACAGGGCATTTTTACTAGGATTAAATGTCAGGAATTTTGAAAAACTGAGTTTAAATGTATTTGGCTAAAGTGTATGTAAACTTTCCACTTCAACTGTACTTTTCAGACTCAGGACAAGAAAACACAAACCATCAATGACACTTTACAGCCATCCTGTAACATTTGGGTGTGGGAATGTCTGATGTGTGTTTGTGTTGCTCCAGAGACTGTCTGTCCGTAGAGGTGGGCTGAGGCTGAGCAGCCAGTTGAGGTGAAAAGGGGGCAGGAGCAGGGGGGAGTTCCTGGCGTGCCTTTCCCCCTGCCTGGGGAGACACAGGTGTGTGTGGAGGTAGACACATTAGGAGAGCTGCTGGGGAGGGAATGTTGTCAGCAGCCTTCTAGCTATCACTCTTGTATTTTAAGACAGCAGACAGAGAGAGAGAGAGAGAGAGGTAGAAAAGGAGAGAGAGAGGATCATAGGGAATGGTGCAGGCCCGTACACGTTGTTTTCCCCTGCCACGCGCACTCCTCCCTTAGAGCCATGTATAAATCC